GGGTTGTGTCGCCAACTCCAGCGGGACCGAAGTGCTTCTGCAGCTGGAGGCTCTGCGCAGCGCCGCACCGCGACTCTCCCAACTCTTCCGTCTGACGGAGAAAAGAAAGGTAGACAGGCTGCCTGTGTAATAATAATAATATTAATAATAATAATGATATTAATAATAATTATAATAATAATAATAATAATGGGATTCTACTCTGCTCTTGTTGTCATCGATCAATAAGTCTCTGAAGTTGCTTCCACAATCTTTTCTTGTGTTTTTGTGTCCCTGAAATTGCAAAGTTGGATTGGTACAGAGCGCCCCCTTGTGTTCAGAGATTATTTAATTTGTCATTCGAACGCAGTGGTGTGTTTTTTATTGCGAGGCTCTTGTCTAAGGTTTTCGTTACTCGGGTAAAGTGGTTAGACTGTTGGATATATTTTGAATTTATTGTATTCTACTTTGCGCTTTGTTGTTTAGTTATTTTTTAAGTCCGGCCTCGGTGTCTTTGTTTGTGTGTGTTTACTCAACTCGGTTTGAATATTTTCACGAAAGCTTAAAATTTTATTTTAGTAATATTTTGTATTATTTACACTTTACAAATTATTCAACAAAACATCATCATGGGTTTTTGTTTTAGAGTAATAAAAATTCAACCTGTTGTATTTACAGCAGCAGTAATTAAAAACAAACGTCAGCAGCTGTTTGACGTGTTAATGTTTTTATTTTCGTTTCGGTGACAACCTCAAAGAATTCTTTTATTTATTTTTTAATTAATTTGGTGAAACACATTTGTGTTTGAATAATTTCAACAAATGAAACATTTTCTTTTTTATATCAAAACATGTTTTCCCGACCGATTTGCCTTCAGATGTAATTTCTTTTTTAAAAAAAAAAAAAAGAGAGAAAGAAATAAAATTTGTCAGAATCAGAATAGGTATTTAACTTCAAGTTCATGTACACAAAGAAGGTTTTAACTTGGTATACTGATGCGTTTTAATAGAATTAATCTAACAGTATTTTTTGTTTAACCTGATTGAATTTTTTTTAACATTGTCAATTTAAAATAAGTCCAAGACATTTGGGTATTTTCTAGTTTTCTAGTTTGAGAGAATAAATATGTCTTTACATGTTGTGCACTTCCACATATTTCGATGTATTTTTTTTAAACCCAAAAATTAGGTTAAAAATACATTTTGTTTCTCTACGTATTTAGGAAATAATCCTGGAAGATTCACTCAAAATTCACAATTATATTATATATTATATTAAATTAAATTATATTCATACTTCACTTGATGTATTTTTTATTTTAGAAATATTTATATAAATATGCAATTACCAATAATAAGGCCTTTTGAACTAAAATATAGGTTAAGTAACGTCCCTCTTTTTCTGCACCCCCCTTTCTCCCTCTCTCCCTCACTCTCCCTCTCTCTCCCTCTCTCTCCCTCAGATTTATTATAAAGCTGTGCGGGACATTGAAGCAGGGGAGGAGCTCTTAGTGTATATGAAGGACGGCATTTTCCCGGAGGGATCCATGGCACCCAACCTACAAGGTAAGATTAATGCGCGTCATTAGCGCACGTTTTAAACAAAACTCCGAGCTGCATCCGGTCGCACCTTAAACCTCTCTGTGGTGACGAAGGAGAGAAGACACGAACCACAGCCCACACCCAAGTCTCTGTTCAGTTCGAGTCACGTTAGTTTTTCTTAGTTGTTCGCTGGGCCCAGACATTACACACACACACACACACACACACACACACAGAGAATGTTTATCACGCGACGCTGTGACTCAAGAAAATAAACAAATATTCAACTTTAAAGACCAACTACAGTAAGAGTTTTATATTATAATTCCATGTTGCATGAACAATTCCATGAAAAACACTAAGCTGGTTAAGCTAATGTACGTAAATGGACGTTGACAAATTTAGTAATCTTTACTCAAAAGACGCGTTTGGTGGAATGCCTCGTCCTTCTACGGTGTTTTTAACATTTTGAGTAAGTGTAAAACACCGTCATTTTAAAAACATTTTTAAAATGACGATTCAATTCCATTATGTTTTATATACTGTATGAAGGAATTGAATCACATCATGTACAGGTTCGCCTGTGTGACGTGACTCACGGCTCAGCAGCCTTTGACCCCGTCTCTATCTACGTCAGATTGAATAAATAAAGTATTTCTTTATCTCGTCATCTAACCAGTACAACAAGGCCTTTCTTTTAAAGTTCACTCGTGCGTAAAAGGAAGCTGCAGCTCTGCCTGTTTTTTTTTTTTTTATACATCTTGGATTTATTTTTGCTGAGCTGCTGCTGTCAGGTAACATCGTTGTTGTGGTGACTCTGGATCACAGTCAGGAGGAGAAGTTGATTACTGTCGTCACTGATGTTAAAATGACGGAAGAATAGTTAAAAAAAAATAATCGAATGCAGTTCATCAGTCCAGAGTATTTTACGTTTGTCAAACATGGAACAGACTTTAAACAAATGACTCTCATGCAAGAGGGACACAGACCAATAAGTTCACCTGCCAGTGTGTGTGTGTTTTAACACAGAGTGCCTGTTGTCTCTATAAGACAGGGATGTCCACACTTTGACAAAGAGGTTCTTCAAAACTATTTATATGTACGAAATATCATGTGCTTGAAGTGGTGTATAAATGTTAATGATAGCACATCAATTCTAGATGTTACATTAATGTAACACAGTGTCTAAGTGTGAGCTAAGACATAAGTTTTCAGAACACACACTAAGTAAGCAAAGGCTGATTAAAAATAGAATGATAAAATATTAAATACATTTTTATATAGATGATAATTATCAGCTTATTTAAACCCAAAAATGGCCAAATGTGGTTCTCAATGTTAAAAAGATACAAAAACAAAAAATCATGTAGCAAAAAAGAAGAGAAGTCCAAATTTAAGTTGAAAAACTTTGAAAAGAAAAATGTTGACCTAGGTAACATGCATAGATATGGAAAAGACAAGAGTAGAATAGTTATTATTTAACATATAAATTCAAGATAGTCAGAGCCTGGAACCAAAATCAGCTGAAAGTCAGATAAGCCAACATTCACTGAAAACTGTCCTGTGAAAGAGCCAAAATGTTATTGAAACACATGAGAAAAAAACCATCCCTGGGAGTTTTACGCCTTGCTGCTGACCTATTGTAATACATTTTTAAAACACAGAATGAGGCCTGCCTGGTCCCTGAACCTGACTTTGGACATGGCTGCTTTACAGAGATCAAAGTGTCTGTGTTTGTGTAAGTAGGAAAGAGAGAGAAGAGACGCTCATGTAGCCGGGCTGAGTGGGAGCTTGGCAGTGCAGTCGTGCTCTGCGTCTGGCTTATCAGAGAAGGAATTTGAAGTAGAGGACTTGAGGAGTCCCCCGAGACCTCACCCATGCTCCCAGATTAGCTGCTAAACTGCACATAATTGTGCTTCCCTTCGTCTCCCAGAGAGCCATTAGTCTCCCCTATAACCCTCCACACACACACACACCGTGGTTCAACCTCTCAGACCAGACTAACTGAAAAAACAAAACAAAAGCACATTCGATCACCTTTATTTACAGACAGGGTGATGTCTGAGCAGCTGCATTTCAGTCACGCTGAAACTTTTTTAGCCAACTTTTGTGCTGCTGACAGAACAAACGAAGGCCCTGCTGGCCAGTGGACGCTATGAGCTTCATGTCAAACCACAGTGGTTGATTTCAGAGAAACCAGTCAGTCCTCACGTGACACACACACACTGGTGTCAAAGTCAGCCAGTTAGTTTAGCATTTGTAATGGACCATTGACCAAGAGGTCATTTATTTTTCTCCCCAAGGTTAGACTCATTGATGTTTCTACACTAATGCCCTTTTAATGTGTCCAAGAAGTTCCAGCTGGATAAACGGTCACGCGGAATAAAAAAAAAAGTGAGCAATGCGCTGCACGTCCTTTTGGATAAACTCATTTACTGCTGCCTGAAATGATGGATGGTTGTGCGTGGTGTGCGCGGACACGTAGACGATCGCCCCACGTTTCGGGCTGTGTGGGTTGGGGCAAAGAGGGGATTGGGGCAGGTTGGTGCTGAAAGCACCATGAGGTTGGCGCCACTGCACCTCCTACCTACCTCTGTTCTTCATGGCTCATTCTGTTTGGAACATGCTCACATAAACACACGGACACTTACACAAATATACACACTGTTGTACCTCGGCACAAAGACACTCCGCTGGGCTTTCCCCTGATGTGTTGAACTTGGCGGCCCACTCAGGAAGTGGCTATTGAAAAAGCTGGCCCCGGTTTTATGCATTTGACCTTGATGGTGAGAAGTATTGTAAAGGTTATCAAGTGGGAAAAGAAAGGCCAGGCCTTATATGGTTTCCCCTGTGTGCTGTTTTACCAACAGCCTCCTGCAAATACTGCCCTTAACAAGCAATTAGCTGAGTTAATGAAGGCTACCTTTCACTGCTAATTGATTTCCATTTTATGTGAATGTCAATTACAGTTGCTCCAACGAGGGTCAATTTAAGTGTAACTAACAAAGCGATGGGTAGTAAAGGTTTGCTCTTGTCTAGTTCTATCGACTGTTTTAATATACAGTTCCGTTCACGTACCGAGGAAGTCAGTCTATCGTGAACTAAATCTGTGTGTTGTCTGTGTACAGATGAGCAGATGTACCGCTGTGAAGACTGCGATGAGCTCTTCTCCTCGGCTCTAGAGCTGCGGCGGCACCAGAAGTATTCGTGCACCAGTGCAGGCTCCATCTTTGACTCACTGAGGGAGGACTTCAAACAGGAGCGGGAGGACAGCGACGAGCCCGTCCACGAGTGTAAAGACTGTGAGAAGATTTTTCCAAATGAGTACAGGTAAGAAGTACTGCTCATGCACGTAATACACATATAACTGTACATATACTCGGGGACTCCATGATTTACTTATGCTCTGTTTCCCTCAAGTCTGGGCCAGCATATGATAGTCCACACCGAGGAGAGGGAATACAAGTGTGACCAGTGTCCAAAAGCCTTTAACTGGAAGTCCAACCTCATACGTCACCAGATGTCACATGACAGTGGCAAGCGTTTTGAGTGTGAAAACTGTGATAAGGTACAGCATACCCAGCACGTAAGTGGTGCACAGAGCACACAGGCTGTATTTGCTTCAGACATTCTGCTGGTCTTGTGTTGTTACCTAGAACTAACTGTTCATAAATATTATTCAAACGATGTGTTACTTCCTACGATGATTGTTCTTACAGTGATCAGATTTTTTTTTGTCTTTAATATTAATATTTTTTATGCACATTGGAATTTGAGTTGTATTGTTTAGAAAAGTTTGTTCTGTATAAAAGGTATGAAAAAAGTGTGCTTTTTTTCGTTCATATATAAATATATAAATGTTTTCTTGAATAGCAACTCCCACTGAAATGCTTTACTTTTGCTTTTCATACCTCAGGTGTTCACAGATCCCAGCAATCTTCAGCGTCACATCCGCTCTCAGCACGTGGGTGCACGTGCACACACGTGTCCTGAATGTGGCAAGACCTTCGCCACCTCGTCAGGCCTCAAGCAGCACAAGCACATCCACAGCAGTGTCAAACCCTTTATCTGTAAGTCAGATAAGAGTGTTGAAGTACGGAGATGTCTGTCTGAATGTGCCCTGTTACACTCCTGCAGTACATCATCAACTTTTTCATCTACAGTACCTGAGTCTGTGTGTTTATCTGTGAGATGTAATAGAAAGACAAAGATTTTGGATTTGTTTGTGTGTTGCAGTTGATGTGGTGTTCACAGTTAGAGACAGTGTTAAAATGGGTTTAACCAGGCCCTGATGGGCTGTGTCTTTTTGCTCCCCCAGGTGAGGTTTGCCACAAATCCTACACCCAGTTCTCCAACCTCTGCCGGCACAAGCGTATGCACGCTGATTGCCGCACCCAGATCAAGTGTAAGGACTGTGGACAGTTGTTCAGCACTACCTCCTCCCTCAACAAGCACCGTCGATTCTGTGAGGGCAAAAATCATTACGGCTCCCCTGGAGGGATTTTCAACCCTGGGATCCCCATGAGTTCCAGCCCTATTATAGCCAAGGCAAAGTCCCATCACCCTCACCTTCCTGGTCTCAACCAGTCAGGGTTGGGATTCACTGACTACTTTCCCTCCCGACCGCACCCTCATGCTGGCTTACCCTTTTCCCACGGGCCCCATGGCTTTCCGTCACTACCGCATGGTTTCCCAGGTATCTTTCCTACGTCACTGTATTCCCGGCCGCCTTTATTGCCAGCTAATCCATTGATAAAGACTCCATTAGGCAGCAGTCAGGAGGTGAAGCTGCCTCGGAGTCCACTAGATGCACCCCCACTGTCCCTGGTTAGCTCTACGAACAGCAATGGAGGCAACAGTCTTAGTCAAGGCGAAGAGAAGGAAAAAGAGAACAAACTAGATTTGTCCTCCAGTGGTGAAACCCAGCAAAACTCTAAAATCGCAGACATATCTGATGGTAGTGACCTAGAAGATATCAATACCACAAGTGGGACAGATTTGGACACCACCACTGGCACTGCATCGGGTGATGGTTCTGACCTGGAGAGCGATGGGGAGAGTGAACGAGAGCGAAGTGGTAAGAGAAGAAAGCCATCTGGAGCCATATCAAGTCAAGACGGTAACCAGTCAGAAAACCGGAATAGTGCGTTGATATCAGCTGTGTCTAGCTCAGGCCTCGCAGGACTCAATCGTTCATTTCTCTCCTCTGCATCATCCCAGCATTCTTTCTTCCCTCCTCCTGATGAACAGGCCCTTCCTCCCACCACCACAAATGCCAACGCAGCCACCACAGACTCCATCAAAGCCATTGCCTCCATTGCTGAAAAATATTTTGGCCCAGGTTTGATTGGTCTTCATCAGGAGAAGAAGATGGGTCCGTTGCCCTACAATTCCATGTTTCCCTTTCAGTTCCTGCCTAACTTTCATAACTCTCTATATCACTTTGGCGCTGATCGAGGAGCCCTCAACCCCAACATGTTCTTCAAGGCAGAACCTAAGTCGCCTCATGAGCATCTTCACAAGATAGTCTCTGGGGCTCCAGGCACTCCTGTTCGCACAGCAGAGTCACCGTTTGACCTCACCACGAAACCCAAAGAGACCAAGTTATCTCTTTCCACACCACCAAACGCCTCACAACACAACAACAGTACTGGGAGCAGTAGTGGACCATCAGCGTTGTCAGGTAGTGAAGAGCAACCTCTGGATCTCAGCATTGGTGGTCGAAGCAGAGGTGGACATAATGGTGTGGCAGCGGAGCCGCAGAATCGGAAGAACCACCTCTATGGGGTTGGGAAAGGAGGTCATCTCAAAGATGACAACCTAGCTGGTTTCCCACAACCACTGTCACAGTCACTGCACCAATCTGCCATCTCACAGCACCAGCAGCCCCAGGCACCGCCACATCAGCCACCGCCCCTGCACTATGCCAAGCC